TATTATTTCCTGGCATTTAGTACATCCACCATGTTGTGTAACCATCAACTCTGTCTAGTTCCAAAATATTTTCATTACCACCAAAAGAAAATCCATACCAATTAGCAGTCACTCTCCTTGCACTGTTTCCTCAGATGCTGGTAACCACTGATCTACTATTTGTCTCTGTGGACTTCAATGGATATGTATGTTTTTCTTTATTGATTTTAGAGAGAGAGGGAGAGATAGAACCATCAATGAGAAAGAACATAGACTGGCCGTCTCCTACATGCCTCCCACTGGGGATTGGGCCCACAACCTGGGCATGCACCCTGATCAGGAATCGAACTGGCAACCTCTTGGTACATGGGTCAATGCTCAACCACTGAGCCACACCGGCTGGGCCTGATTAGCCATTTTAAACCAACGAGGAATAAAAAGAAATCCTGATCTAAAAAATAAATAAAGTACAAAAAGTAAGAAGTACCGCCCTGGCTGGTTTGGCTCAGCGGTTGGAGCGTCGGTCTGTGGTCCAGAGGGACCTGGGTTCGGTTCCCGCTAAGGATGCGTACCTTAGCAGTTTGTCCCAGCCCTTGTTGGTCATGCAGGTGACAGCCACTCGATGTATCCCTTTCATGTCGATGTCTCTCTCTCTCTTCTCTCTCTCTTCCTCTCTCTCCCTCCCACTCTAACTGAACAAAAAATGGAAAAAAATGTCCTCGGGTAAGGATTAAAAAAAAAAAAGTAAGAAGTATCCTTCTCACTAGAGATAAAAATATTTAAGCCGTTAAAAAGTATTTGCAGTACAATAAAGTGATTTCCATGGATATAACTTAAATAAAAACCAAAATAGTAGTTTCACTTCTGATAATAAAATCCAATTTAGGTCAAATTAAATACAACTGATAGTACAACAATTAAGGGCATGGGCTCTGGAGCCAGACCAACCTGGCTTTAAAATCTAGTCTCCACATTACAGGTGATGAGCAAGAGATGCTTAGCAAAGTACCAGGCACAAAGTGAATATACCAGTCTTATCATCCTCCTCCCCCTTAATCGCATCACAATCATTTAGAAGTAATCCCATTTTCATCAGTATTCTTGAAACTGTGTAGAACTGGACTACAGTCCTTGACAAGATGTATGTACCAAATTCAAAGATCTGGTCACACTTGTCCCTATCTCTGCTTTAATAAAAATTAAAAGAGAGAAATCTTTGCTTTCCTTTTTGGAATTCACACCACAGCCACACACTTTTTTTCCTTTATTGATTTTTAGAGAGGGAGGAAGGGAAAGGGAGAGAGAGAGATAGAACATTAATGAGAGAGAAGATCCACTGGCTGCCCCTGAGATTTGGCCCACAAATGGGCATGTGCCCTGACCAGGAATCAAACTGGCGACCTCTTGGTGCATGGGTTGACACTCAACCACTGAGCCACACCACAGCCACATACTTTAAAATTAACTCCTCACTTACCGTTCCAAGAGAATAAAGATATTTCCACTATCTTCTCTTCTGGAAAATCACTCCCAAACAATAACAGTAAGAAACAGAAAAACATGATTTGATGTCTAACCTTAAAGATCAATTCTAAATGCTTAGAGAAGATCACAGGTTTGTCTTGAGAACCCCAGGAAAGCAGCATTAAGTATCACAGCAGGTGGAGTTGAGAAAGGGTGATAAAAACATGAAAATTATTTAAACAAAAGCCTGCATAAGTACAACTTTTTCTCCCTACTCTGAAATTTCAGCAGTTGGCCTTGAAAACCACAAACCTTCCTACTGGCTTAAAAAAAAAAATCTCACCAAGAGAAAATGGAGAAAATATTTCCTCTTATCCTACAGGTGCAAAAATCCTCACAAATTTAATTTCTAATAAATAGGTCTAGTAAGACCACTAAGATTTTAGACATTACTGCTATGTCCTATAAAAATAAGCTTTATTTACCCTTTAAAGACTTTTAATTGGGTATCTTGCCTTCTAAATAATTTGTTACTCTGGTAATAATATGTAAGCCACATCTCAGGTTTCTAAACAGTCTAAATATATGCATGCTCTAGTTGTTAAGCCTTAAAGGGCCTACTGACACTTGCTCTGTTCTCACAAGTCCTAAATTAAAAATATACTCAATGTCCCAGAGCTTGAGACTTACTTAAATTTTGCTTGTTTAGCCACAGAATTTCCTTGGAAGAGTACCCATGAAACTGGTAAGAGTGACTGCTCCCAGGGCAGCAGTGGCAATTCACAGAGTACAGTAAGAAATGCCCCTGTGAGTTCCCATAAGGCTGTCAGCTGATTTCACAAAAGAAACTTTGCAGGACAGAAGGGAGTGGCAAGAAATATTCAGAGTGATGGAAAGCAAGAACCTACAACCAAGATTACTCTATCCTGCAAAGCTGTCATTTAGAATCGATGGCCATATAAAGACTTTCCCAGACAAGAAAAAGTTAAAGGAGTTCATCACCATCAAACCGTTATTATATGAAATGATGAAGGGTCTTTTTGAAGAAAAAGATAAAATATATGAACAAACAAAATGGCAATGAATACATATCTATCAACAATGGAATCTACAAACAAAATGAACAGATAGAACAGAAACATTCTCATAGATACAGAGAACATTTTGTTGGTTGCCAGATGGGAGGGGGTTTGGGAGAATGGGTGAAAAAGGTTAAGGGATTAAGAAGTACGAATTGGTTGCTAAACTGACAAACCTCAAAGGGAAGGAGGCTGGGGGGGTGGGAAGAAATAAACCAAAGAACTTATATGCATAACCAATGGACACAGACAACAGTGTGGGAAAAGGCGGAAGGGAGGCGGGAGTGGGGAGGAGGGAGCCAATGGGGGGAAAAATGTGGAACATCTGTAATACATTCTACATTCAACAATAAAGATTTTTTTTAAAAAAATCACAAGAACAAAAAAAAAAAGAAAGAAATGCCCGTGTGTTGCCTGGTCAGTGTGCTCAGTGGATTGAGCATCGACCCATGCACCAGGAGGTGCCTGGTCAGGGCACATGCCCAGGTTGTAGGCCCAATCCCCAGTGGGGGGCATGCAGGAGGCAGCCAAATCGATGTTCTCTCTCATCGATGTTTCTATCTTTCTTTCCCTCTCCCTTACTCTCTCTCTAAAATCAATAAAGAAAAAAAATTTAGCCCTGGCCGGTTTGACTCAGCGGTTAGAGAGTCAGCTCAGGGATCAGAGAGTCCCGGGTTCAGTTCCCGCTAAGGGCATGTACCTCGGTTGCAGTTTGTCCCCGGCCCTGGTTAGGGTCATGTGGCTGGCAGCCGCTTGATGTGTCTCTCTCACATCAATGTCTGTCTGTCTGTCTGTCTGTCTCTCTCTCTCTCTCTTTCCCCTTCCCTTCCTCCCGCTCTATCTGAAGATAAATGCAAAAATGTCCTCGGGTGAGGATAAGAAAAATAAAATTAAAAATAAATTTTAAAAATTTAAAACAAAAAAATGCCAGTGTGGCTCAGTTGCTTGGAGAGTCACCTGGTACACCAAAAGGTGGCAGGTTTTATTCCATCAGGGCACATACCCAGGTTTGATCCCCAGTCAGGGTGCATGCAGGAAGTAAACGAATAGATCTTTCTCTCTCTCTGTGATGTCAGAAGGACAGTGATTACTCTGGGAGTGAGAAGGGGTAGTAACTAGCAAGAGAATCAAGGGGAGTTTCTGGGATGCTAGTTATTGTTTCGTGACTTATGTTTACACCAATGTGTTTACTTTGTGAAAACCCATCAAGCACACTTAAGATTTGTGCTGTGCCCAGGTCAGCTTGGCTCAGTGGTTAGAGCGTTGGCCTGCAGTCTGGAGAAACCCAGTTTCAATTCCCGCTAAGGACACGTACCTCGGTTGCAGTTTGTCCGCGGCCCTGGTTGGGTCATGTGGGAGGCAACCACTCGATGGGTCCCTTTCACGTTGATGTTTCCCTCTCTCTCTCTCCCCCTCCCACTCTATCTGAACAAAATATCAAAAAGTGTCCTCAGGTGAGGATAAAAAAAAAAGATTGTGCTGTTATGTATATTATATTTCATTTTAAAAGTTTTAAAACTCAGCCCGGTCGGTGTGGCTCAGTGGACTGAGCATAGTCCCATGGACTGAGAGGTCCAGATGCGATGGCTCCATCCCCAGTAGGGGGTGTACAGACGACAGCCCATCTATGTTTCTCTCTCATTAGTGTTTCTCTCTCCCCCTCTCCCTATCTCTCTATCTAAAAAAAAAAAAAAAAAATCAATAAAAAATATATATATAAATCATCTGAAATATATGCTTAGACTATCTTAGTCCTTTCTAGAATAATCAAGTGCTTCCTATATGCCAGATCTTGTTCAAAGTACTTTATATATATTAAATCACTTAATCCTCATAACAACCCTATGAATTTGGTATGTTATTACTGTTATTTTGAAAGTGAAGAAACTGTGACACAGAGGTTGAGCAATGTGCCCAAGATAACACCTAGTAAGTGGCAAAGTCAAAATCTGTACGAAGGTACTCTGGCTCCCAAGTTTATGCTCTGAAACATTATCCTTAACATCTCTCCAATAAAATTTTACTTTATAGTGGAAAAAAAAACATAATTAAGAAAATAAATTATTTAATCAATCTAAATCATTGCCACTCTATTACTACTTAGCTCTCCATTCAGTTAGATGCTAAAATACAGGTGCAAAATTGCATATAAGAGTAAGTGTCATGCCCTGGTCAGTTTGGCTCAGCAGTTAGAGCCTTGGCCCAGGGACCAATGAGTCACAGGTTCAATTCTGGTCAAGGGCACTTACCTTGGATGCGGTTCAGTCCCTGGCCCTAGTCAGGATCATGTGGGAGGCAACCAATAGATGTGTCCCTCTCACATCAGTGTTTCTCTCTCTCTCCCTCTCTCCTACTCTCTCTGAAAATAAATGGACAAGTATCCTCAGGCGAGGATTAAAAAAAAAAGAGTAAGTGGCATAATCAAATGGAGTAACTGCATATTACTCAAAGCTCAAAAATTATACACTAGTAATATACCTCTCTTCTATTCTGTTCTTATCCATGAGAGGCTGCTTAATCCACTGGTTAACCAGTCTTTGTCCTTGAGGGGTTTTGCATTTATTCAGCAATGCAGCCAGAGACTGAGAGCCAGTGGTATCTTCAACAGAACCCTAGTAAACAAAAAATAAAAAAGAATGGCATTCTCATTAGTGAAAATTTTACTGTGCCATGAAAAATAATTTTAAGAACAAGAACATTTAATATTCTTCAAATATTAAATGAGAAATCAGCACAAAAGTTCTAAATTAAATTTTCAAACTGTGAGTCTATATTTTCTGCTGTGTATTCCCCTAAACCAAAACCACTTTATAATTATTGCAGTTTTAGACACAAAACTTATTAACATGTATATATTAAAAACTGCTGTAATAAAGAAAGTTTTCGCATGCCAGTGTAGCTCAGTGATTAAGCATAAACCCATGCACCAAGAGGTCACCAGTTCAGTTCTTGGTCAGGGTACTCGCCCAGGTTGTGGGCCCAATCCCCAGTGGGGGGCATGCAGGAGGTGACCAATCAATGTTCTCTCTCATCAATGTTTCTATTTCTCTTCCTCTCCCTTCCTCTCTAAAATCAATAAAAGGGGGGGAAAAAAGTAAGCCCCTTAAAAAGATACTTCAGGATATATCAGAGGAAACAATTTTAACCATTCAATGTTTTCAAGACAATTTTCTTTTTTAATAATCATCTGTATATTGTATTGTGTATTCACCATCCCAAATCTTCTTCCATCACCATTTATCTCCCTTTACCCTCTTCTACCTTCCCCCACCCCCCTTCCCTGATAATTACCATACTGTTATCTGTATCAATGAGTTTTATAATTCAATGTGTTTTTTTCTTAATATATTTTTTATTGAATTTTTTGAGAGAGAAGAAGGGAGAGGGAGAGAGAAACACAGCGAGAGAAAAAGAAACATCGATCAGCTGCCTCCTGTACACCACCTACTGGGGATCAAGCCCACAACCCAGGCATGTGCCCTCAGCAGGAATCAAACCAATGACCCTTCGATGCATGGGATGACACCCAATCAACTGGGCCACTCCAGCCAGGGCAAACCATTCAATGTTTTTAATCCATGTATTATTACATATTTTTTTTACCTGGAAAAGGTTAAGGGCTCTGACTGCTGCAATATCCAATTTCATGTACTGGCGAAAGTCAAAAGTAGTCAGTTCAAATTGTCCAAAGTTTGAATCATCTGATAAGAGTTCTAAAAACTTGATAACTGCAGACAATGATGAAACTGCAACCTAGGATTAAGAATTCAAAATAAAAGATTGCCATCATTAGAATTCTAGAGATTATTTTAAAGACAAATGGAAAAAAATAAATGAATTCCAAATACATCATTTCCTTGGTGTTTCTTCTCAATCCAAACCAACAAAATCAAAGTTTAAATAAATCTCTTAATGTTAGAAAATCATTTTTAGAAAATGGAAATATACTGCAATACCAGCACTGTTCATAATAGAAAATACTCAAATGTCCTTTAAGAGCAAAATGGATAAAGTTCGGCATGTTTAATGGTCACCCTAAGGAATACTACACACAATATAGGCAAAAAAAAATCCACAACTACATGCAATATGGATAAATCTCACAAACATAATAATGAATAAATGAAACCAGAGGCAAAGATTATATATACTATGATTCTATTTACATAAACTACTGAAATAAGTCAAACTAATCTACACTGTCAGAAGTAAGAATCAGGGTTACCCTGTATAGGGGTAATGACTGAAATTCATACACTTTCCTACGTGTATATTTAAGTAAGATATTTAAATAAATTATTGTGTGTGTTCTGACTGTTCCACCAACCAGCTGTTCCTCTGGTCTCTCTCCTCAGGCCTCCCTCTTTCCGGAGACACTGAAATTAAGGTGATTAATAACCCTACAATGGCCTCTAGGTGTTCAAGTGAAAGGAAGAGCCCCACGTCTCTCACTTTAAATCAAAAGCTAGAAATGATTCAGCTAAATGATGAAGGCATGTCAAAAGCCAAGATAGGCCGAAAGCAAGTCCTCTTGTGCCAAACAGGCAAGCCAAGTTGTGAATGCAAAGGAAAAGTTCTTGAAGAAAATTAAAAATACTAATCCAGTGAATGATAAAAAAAGCAAAGACTTTTTACAGATATGGAGAAAGTTTTAGCAGTCTGGATAGAAGATTAAACCAATCACAACATTCTCTTAAGCCAAAGCCTAATCCAGAGCAAGACCCTAACTCTCTTGACTTCTATGAGGGCTAAGAGAGGCAAAGAAGCTGTAAAAGAAAAGTCTGAAGCCAACAGAAGTTGATTCATGAGATTTAATTAAAGAAGGAAGCTCTCTCTATAACATAAAAGTGCAAGGTGAAGCAGCCAAGTGATAATCTAGAAGCTACAGTTAAGTTTCCCAGATCTAACTAAGATAATTAACGAAGTGACTACACCAAACAAAAGATTTCAATGTAGATGAAATAGCCTTATATTGGAAGAAGATCCCATCTAAGGGTTTCATAGCTAGAGAGAAGTCAATATCTGGCTTCAAAGCTTCAAAGGACAAAATGACTCTCTTGTTAGGGGCTAATGCAGCTGGTGACTAAGTTGAAGCCAGTGCTCATTTATTATTCTGAAAATCTTCAGGTCCTGAAGAATTACACTGAATCTACTCTGATTGTGCTCTAAAAATGGAACAAAGCCTAGATGACAGCACATCTGTACTGAATATTTTAAGTTCACAATGGAACTTACTGCTCAGAAAAAAAAGATTCCTTTCAAAATATTGCTACTCACTGACAATGTACCTGGTCACACAGAAGCTCTGATGGAGGTATACTGACTAGGTTAATGTTTTTATGTCTGCTAACAGAACACCCATTCTGCAGCCCATGGACCAAAGAGTATTTTCTACTCTCAAGTCTTATTATTTAAGAAATAAGTTTCAAGCCCTGGCCAGTTTGGCTCAGCGATTAGAGCGTCGGCCTGCGGTCCGGAGAGACCCGGGTTCGGTTCCCGCTAAGGGCACGTACCTCGGTTGCAGTTTGTCCCCGGCCCTGGTCGGTCCTGCGGGTGGCAACCACTCGATGTGTCCCTTTCACGTCGATGCTTCTCTCTCTCTCTCCCTTCCTCTCTCTCCCTCCCATTCTATCTGTACAAAAAAAAATGGAAAAATATCCTCGGGTGAGGATAAAAAAAAAAAAAGAAAAAAAAAAAAAAAAAGAAATAAGTTTCAAGCCCGGACAATGTGGCTCAGTGGTTAGGCATCAACCCATGCATCAAGAGGATGTCAGTTTGATTCCCAGACAGGGCACATGCCCAGGTTGTGGGCCAAATCCCCAGTGTAGGAGGTGGCCAATCGATGTTCTCTTTCTTCGATGTTTCTATCGCTCTCTCTCTCTCCCCCTTCCTCTCTCGCTAAAATCAATAAAGAAAAATTATTAAAAATAAATAAATAAATTTCGCCCTGGCCGGTTTGGCTCAGCGGTTAGAGCGTCAGCCTCCGGTCCAGAGAGACCCGGGTTCGGTTCCCGCTAAGGGCACGTACCTTGGTTGCAGTTTGTCCCCAGCCCTGGTTGGGTCGTGTGGGTGGCAACCATTAGAAGTGTCGCTTTCACGTCAATGTTTCTCTCTCTCTCTCTCTCTCTCCCTCTCACTCTATCTGAACAAAACATCGAAAATGTCCTCGGGTGAGGATAAAAACAAATAAACAAACTAAATAAATAAATAAATAAATTTCAAAGGTTATAGCTGCTATTAATAGTGATTCCTCTGATAGATCTGGGAAAATAAACTGAAAGCCTTCTGGAAAGGGTTCACCCTTCTAGGTGTCATTAAGAACAATCTTAATTCATGGGAAGAGGTGAAAATAAACCTCAACAAGAGTTTGGAAGAAGCTGATTCCAACCTTCAAGGATGCTTGGAAAAGTTCAAGACTTCAGTGGAGGAAGTAACTGCAGATGTGATGGAAACAGCAAGAGAACTAGAATGAGAAGTGAAGTCTGAAGATGTGACTGAATTGCTGCAATTTCATGATAAAACTTTTAACAAATGAGGAGTTGCTTCTTATGCACGAGCAAAGAAAATGTTTTTTTGAGATGGAATCTACTCCTGGTGAAGATACTGTGAAGACTGTTGAAATGACAACAAAGGATTTAGAATATTACATAAATTTAGTTAATAAAGGGGCAGAGTTGAAGAGGATTGACTTCAATTTTGAAAGAAGTTCTGCTGTGGGTAAAGTGCTATCAAACAGTATCGCGTGGTACAGAGACATCATTAGTGAAAGAAAAAGTCAATCAACATGACAAACGTCATTGTGTTCTTTTTTTTCCTTCATTGATTTTAAGGAGAGAGGAAGGGAGAGGGAGAGAGAGATTGAAACATCGATGAGAAAGAACATTGACTGGCTGCCTCCTATAGGCCCTCCACTAGGGATTTGGCCCACACCTGGGCATGTGCCCTGACCAGGAATCGAACTGGCAACCTCTTGGTGCATGGGTCGACGCTCAACTACTGAGTATGTCACACCGGCAGGGCCATTGTGTTCTTAATTTAAGAAACTGACACAGCCCTGGCTGGTTTAGCTCAGTGGTTAGAGCATAGGCCCACAGACCAATGACTGGCGGGTTCAATTCTGGTCAAGGGCACGTACACCTTGGTTGCGGTTTGTCCCCAGGACTGGTTACGGTCATGTGGGAGGCAACTAGTTGATGTGTCCCTCTCACGTCGATGTTTCTCTCTCTCTCCCTCTCCCATTCTCTTACTCTACCTGAAGATAAATGGAAAAATATCCTCCGGTGAGGATTTAAAAAAAAAGAAATTGACACAGGCATAGTTAGCACCCATTAACATAAAAGCAAGACCCTCCACCAGCAAAAAGATTACAACTCCCTGCCGATTCAGATGATAGCTAGCATTTTAGCAATAAAGTATTTTTTAATTAAGGTATGTACACCATTTTTTAGAATGCTATTGCACTTAATAGACTACAATATAGTATAAATATAACTTTTATATGTACTGGAAAATAAAAAAATTCACTTTATTGAGATATTCACTTTAATGTGGTATTCTGAACTTAACCTTTAATATCTCCAAGGTATGCCTATACTAAACATAATATAAGTTCAGGACAGTAAACTGACAGCCCAATGACAAATTCTACTCATTAAAATATACTTGATACTAGATTCCTTATAAATGTACATATTTTTCCTAATTGATAACTTAGAGTTTGGAAATGGCAGATAGATAACTAACAAAAGTATAAGGCTGTCATAAGAATCTCCTGTCACCAGGAGACACAGATAAAAACAGTTTCTAATAGCCTTAAAAGCTTCTTCATATTTTCAACAGAGAGATAAGTTTCTCTAATACTGGAATCAAAATCCATATTGGCTTTTGATTATGTCACCAAAAAAAATGTAAAAAAGATAAATTTACTTTATAAGGAAGAAACTATTATGTGGTAAGCAATCCCTATAAAATCATGAGTCATAATAGTCTCAGTTCATTCGAGTTGAAAACTACTTTGAAAATTACAAAGTTTGTTCTGTCTTATTAAATATACAATAGAATTTTCCATTTTGCTCCAGTGATCCACAAATATCTTGTCAATAGCTTCCAATATTTTACCATAAAAATACCTCTCCCAAGCCATACCCACCTCGAAGAGTTGAATATAAGATAAACTTTAACCACTGAAAATCCCACAAAGTTACATTTTTTGAGCCAATTTGTTTAAATGTAACTTTTACTATGCAGTCATTATATGCCGTCTACATTTTCACCCTTATTACTTCCCAACCTTCCTAACAATCCTTAGACAGGTATTTTTAATCTTATTTAACATATAATGAAAGTGCCTCTCAGAAAGGTGAAGTAATTTATTAATGATTCCACAGTTTATACATTAAAAAGCTTTGATAGGTCTTTTCCCTCTCTCTAGTCAATATGCTTCCTCACATACTTAAGTGACCTAATCAGGCTTTCACACAAAACCAATAAAACTCTTCCTTTTACCAGGGATATATATTTTGTAAATATGATGGAATTATATTTAAGGTTACGTTAAATTTTTCTAGACATTTGCTTGAGTTTTCCATAGGCTTTATCATAGATAAAGTAAGCTTAATATCAGTGATCCACAGTTTAGATTTGAGACATATGTGACAGAAGGGGCCTTCTTAAAAAGTCAATTATTACAGTTTAGGACAAATTCACATTTGTAATCCACATACCTGATTCTCCATTTCTGGCAAGACAGCACTATTCACCTGTTCTCCTTTTTTGCCTTTCAACAACCGGTTAAGGTCCTGATAAATATCTTTTGTGGAAAAGTCAGCTCTTTTTCTTTCTGTGATAAGAATACCTCCTCTGTGAATAACCTATTTTACAAGAAATATCTTAAATTACTATAAGAAAAGCAGTAAGAAAAAGAAAACTATAACAATGACAAATACAAAGTGACAATAGCTAAAAAATTATTAACCTACCTTAAATTTTCATACAACATTCAAGACATTGGTAAAACGTGTATTAAGATGTGTTTTAAAAATCTATAAACTAGCCCTGGCCGGTTTGGCTCAGCGGTTAGAGCATCAGCCTGCGGTCCTGAGAGACCCGGGTTCGGTTCCCGCTAAGGGCATGTACCTTGGTTGCAGTTTGTCCCCGGCCCTGGTCGGTTGTGCGGGTGGCAGCCACTCGATGTGTCCCTTTCACATCGATGTTTCTCTCTCTCTCTCTCTCTCTCTTCCTCTCTCTCCCTCCCACTCTACCTGAACAACAACAAAAAAATGTCCTCGGGTGAGGGAAAAAAAAAAAAAAATCTATAAACTAAATTTTCATGGATATTTAAAATTATGTTCACATAAAACTTTCAAAAATATAGTCCCAAAGGTAAAAAAAATCTTAACAGAATAATTCTCCTCAAAACTTGTTTAGATACTTATCTTCACTAAAAATGCCATCACAGATTTGCCATCTCTCAAGCAGTTCTTACAGTATTTGAGGCCCATAAAAACAAAAGAATCCTTGGGGAATACAACATATCCCTTTAGACTTACCTAACAAACCATACACTTATACAAATGGCACAATCAAAAATTTTTGTTTTTATTTTTTAATCCTCACCTGAGGATATATTTCTACTTTTGTTCAGAGAGAGTGGGAGGGAGAGAGGAGAGAGAGAGAAACATGGACACAAGAGACACATGGACTAGTTGCCTCCCACACAACCCAACCAGGGCCAGGGATGGACCGCAACTGAGGTACGTGCCCTTGATCGAAATTGAACCTGCAACTCATTGGTCCACAGGCTGACACTCTAGTCGCTGAGCTAAACCGGCCAGGGCCAATAAAAATTTTTTTTTAAGTATCAGGCAGCCCTGGCCAGTTTTGCTCAGTGGTTAGAGCATTGGCCTGCAGACCAGAGAGACCTGGGTTTGGTTCCCACTAAGGGCACGTACCTGGTTGCAGTTTGTCCCCAGCCTCAGTTGGGGTTGTGTGGGTGGCAAACAGTCAATGTTTCTCTCTCTCTCTCTTCCTCCCGCTCTATCTGAAGATAAATGCAAAAGTGTCCTCAGGTGAGGATAAAAAAATAAATAAATAAAGTATCAGGCAAAGTTCCACCCAAACTTTTCAAAAAATCTTGACAGTGTGGTGATACTAGGGGAAGGGGAGGTGGGTAGAGGTGGAGGAGGGTATAGGGGAGATAAATGGTGATAGAAAAAAAATAAAATAAAGCAAAAATAAATCCTAAAGAATTGTATTTTATTTATTTGATAAATCCATGCTAGATACAGGAATAAATTGGTTTTTTGGTACATGCCCCTACCAGGAACCGAACCCAGGACTCTCTGGTCCACAGGCCGATGCTCCAACTGCTGAGCCAAACTGGCCAAGGCTAAATTGTTTTGTTTTGTGTTTTTTTTATCCTCACTCGAGGATATTTTTCCATTTTTTGTACAGATAGAGTGGGAGGGAGAGAGAGGAAGGTAGAGAGAGAGAGAAACATCGATGTGAAGGGACACATCGAGTGGCTGCCACCCACACGACCAACCAGGGCCGGGGACAAACTGCAACTGAAGTACGTGCCCTTAGCGGGAACCAAACCCGGGTCTCTCCGGACTGCAGGCCGACGCTCTAACCGCTGAGCCAAACTGGCCAGGGCTAAATTGGTTTTTTTTTTAAGTGGCCCTTTATCCCTGAACTGTGAAAACGTTCTTTTTTATCAACTGAACTGATTTGAATGCTTTATGGCTCAAATTCTGTTACTCTTAAGGGAGGGAAGGAGGGAGGAAGGAAAGGAGGGAAGAGAAATGATATGAAGTAGAACAAGTCCTAAATAAGAAACAACTTATTCTAGCCCGGCTGGTGTGGTTCAGTGGTTGAACGTCGACCCATGCACCAAGAGGTCACCAGTTCAATTTCCGGTCAGGGCATATGCCCAAGTTGTGGGCTCCATCCCCAGTGGAGGGCATCCAAGAGTCGGCCAATCGATGTTCTCTCTCACTGATGTTTCTATCTCTCTCTCTCCCTCTCCCTTCCTTTCTTTCTAAAATCAATGAGAAAAAAAAGTGAAAAAAATAAAGTCCCATTAAAGACAAAGTTTTCATCAAGGATAAAAATCAAAATATGCCTCAAAATAAAACATTACTATAATTAAAGTTTTAAAAAATTTGACTTTTAAATCACTTTTTTCCCTTAAATAAAATAGTATCATGTTAATTAGAGCCTTTCCTAAGTTTGGTTTGTCTATCACTAGACTAATAATTCCCTTACCTGCCTCAGTTTTCCCATATCTCCAGCAGTCTCTCCTCCTGGTAAAACACATTCCTTTGGTCCAATTTGAATCAGAAGAGCCTCCAGATTGGAGAACTGATCATTATCAGGGAATTCACACAATCCTAGCTTCCTCTGTATGGAGTCAACATACCCAACTCCGACCTGTCTTTGGCCATCAACTGTAGACATTTTAACACCCACAACACCAATGGAAGCTGACATATCATTGTTACCAAAGAGAATATCTTCAAACTGAGAAAGATTACCAGGAGAAGCCTAAGCAATGATAAAGAAAAAGTTTAAGAAACTGATAAATATACTTTAAATTTTTATTAGCAAACAAGAATTACACAACCTGGATGAATTTAACAAAATGATATTTTACTTAAAAAAATTGCTTATAACCATACATTCCAATAATTATCACCAATTTTCAATGAAGAATCCACACTGCTTTCCCAGTTATTTTCAGAACACTTGGGCATATTTGAAAATCACTGTATGAAGTGATTTTCGGTTTGAAATTTAGAAGTTGATATTATACACAATCAAGAAACCCAAAATGGTCATCCTGTCAATGCAAGGTTTAAATTTCTACATTCTGCCAAACCACTGCTGCACTAAGCAGCTATTCCACACAAGAGAGCAGGATTACTAGTTTAAAACTGACCTTGAAAAGTCTCTCTATATCAATATACTTGTGTGTAAAATGCAGATTGTTCTAGCCCTGGCCAGTGTGGCTCAATGGTTGGAGCACTGGCCTGTGCAACAAAGGGTTTGGGGTTCGATTCCTGGTCAAGGGCACAGAACTGGTTAAAGGTTCAATCCCCGGGGGGGGCAAGTTCAGGAGGCAACTAATCCAAGTGTGGCTCTCACATACATCTTTCTCCTTCTCCCTCCCTTTTACCCTTCCACTTTCTCTAAAAATCAATGAAAAAAATTTCCTTGGGTGAGGATTTTTTTTAAAAAGTGAACCAGTAGCTAATAAAACGGGATTATTGAGGATCCTTGAAAATGACATGACTGGTAATCTATGACACAGATAGTATCTAAGGTCCTTTCCTGCTCCAAACTTACAAACTACTGAGAACATGGAAAAGAAATCAATCGCAGAGATCAACTATTTTAAATATCACCAATACTTCATAATAGAACCAATAAGCTAAAAAATATAAGATAAATCCGTTTTAGTGCAGTACTTCTTAAAATGTCAGGATAAAGATACCTTTTTAACCTGATAAAGATACATATTTTAACACAGACACACACACAAAAGAAGTAAAAAGAATTCATCTTGCCCTAGCCTGGTAGTTTAGTTAGAGTGTCATCCCTGATATACCCAGGTTGTGGGTTTGATCCCCAGTCTGGGCACATACAAGAATCAACCAATGAATTCATAAGTAAGTGGGATAACAAATCCATGTTTCCCTCTCTCTCTTTTGCTCTCTCTCCCTAAAGTCAATAGATTTTTTTAAAATTTTTAATTAATCTTGAAGGATTCTGACATGACATAAAGGAATGAGGTGTGACAGACTGATTAACCATGGTAGTCACTTAAACTTATGATTGTTGTTGTTACTGAGTTCTGTGAGGAATGAAATAAAAGAAACATCCTTTGTGGTATCCTCAATTTTCTATTTTTTTTTCTTTTTTTTTTTTTTTTTTAATCCTCACCCGAGGATATTTTTTCCATTTTTTTGTACAGATAGAGTGGGAGGGAGAGAGAGGAAGGGAGAGAGAGAGAGAAACATCGACGTGAAGGGACACATCGAGTGGCTGCCACCCGCACGACCAACCAAGGCCGGGGACAAACTGCAACCGAAGTACGTGCCCTTAGCGGGAACCGAACCCGGGTCTCTCCGGACCGCAGGCCGACACTCTAACCGCTGAGCCAAACTGGCCAGGGCTCAATTTTCTATTAAAATCTTTCAAAACATAGACTAAAACTCTAAAATTCACTTTTCTTAGTATAGTATCAATAAAAATTACCAGAAAGCTCCATAATATAGAATGCTAAAGTCTCCCAGATATAATCCTCATTAAGTGTCTATTCTTACAAATGGGGTGGGGGTGGTAATGAAATAAAGACTGAAAAATATTATATTTGCCCTAGCCAGGATGGCTTAGTTGTTTGGGCGTCATCCTGTGCACTGAAAAGTTGCTGGTTCCATTCCAAGTCAGTACACATGCCTGGTTACAGGCTCAACTCCCAGTAAGGGGCGTGCAAGAGGCAGCCAGTCAACGTTTCGTTCTCATGTTGACGTTTCTCTCTCTGTCCCTCTCCCTCTCTAAAAAAAAAAAAAAATCTATAAAAATATTTTTTTTAAATAAAAATATTATATTTGAAGCAGCACCAACATCAAATGTTTAAGTATTGCTTTAAACTCCACAAGAAAAAACACAGAACTTTCAAATTAAAAAGCATCTTAAAAACTTTCTAATTTTACTATTTATGAAGAAACAGACAAAACAGAAGGTTGGGATATTTGCTAAGGTCACTCAGAGACAGAGAAAAAAGAAAACTGCTTGTAATAACTATGAATGGTGCCAGGCGGGTACTTGAAATATCGGGGGGATCACTTTGTAAATTATCATTGTCTAATCACTATGCTGTACACCTAAAACTAATATAAAATAATATTGAATAAAAATTAAATAAAATACAAGCAAAAAAAAAAATTAGCCCAGCCAGTGTGGCTCAGTGGTTAAGCATCAACACATGCACCGAGAAGTCACGGGTTGGGTTCCTGGTCAGGGCACATGCCCAGATTGTGGACCAAATCCCCAGTGAGGGGTATACAGGAGGCAGCCCCATCAGTGTTCTCTCTCATCAATGTTTCTCTCTCTCTCTCTCCCTCTCTGTTCCTCTCTCTCTAAAGTCAATAAGGAAAAAAAAAAGAAATGAAATCGACTGACTACAAGCTCAGAGCATTGTCCCCTTTCCATACGCACTTATTCTCTCTAAGAAGATATCTCACATCCCCAAAAACATTTTAACCATTTACTGAAAACCTACTTTGTGCAGGTATTATGTGTGAACAAACAAAAGCATGATTTTATAGACTAACAAGAAAGACAGCTACTAAATAAATAAAACAAAGTAGCACTATCTCCTTGAAGGCATTAAAAGCATGCATGTTAATGAGCTTTCCTAGGCACACCACACTTACAAAAAAATTACAATCTAATGGAAGAGAAAGGCACATTCAAAAATACAAACACATGTGTACAAGTGAGATATTTGGAAGACTGTAAATTTATGTAAAATTACTTTAAAAACAGTAAAATCAAATCCTTACTTAATGCTGTATTCAATTTTATGTAACAGGTATTTATTATTTATCTTCCAGAGACAGTGACAAAGATCAGAGTGTTCATACTTATAATAAAGATCTACTAAATTCCTGAGTTATTATTAAACTGCAATTCTTAAAAATCAGATGCTAAAGATTAAAATTTCTCAAAGCACTTTACTATTATACCTGGTAAAATATTAAAACACAAATAAGAATTCCCTTACATTTTAATTTTTTGTGTGCTTAAAAATAAAGGAAGAGAGATAATTACCTTAAATGCCAAATACCAATCATTCTCCTTGGAGGCCTTATTTCCAGCTCTATTCTTATAAACTTCAACTCTATACTGACGAACTAGAAGAAGATCTTTTACAAAAGACTCAAAATTCATTTTACTAAGCACAACACTCTCCAGAGTCTTTGCTCCTAAAGAAAAATATTAAAAATAAGTTACCGATTTGAAGATTTGAAGTAATGTGTTCCAAGTACCTAACACAGCGTTGGCGGTATAGTGGTGAGCATAGCTGCCTTCCAAGTACCTAACACAATATTTCCCCCCAAACTACATGGTTCTCTCAGTAATTCCTTCATTCAATAAACTGTTTATCAAGCAACTATTATTATATGTCCTAAGGACTTTGGTAGATGAGAAGTATAAAATGGTGAGTAGACACAGCCTCCTGCTTCTGTGAAGCCTATGAATCAAAATAAAAAATTAAGAAGATACAAAGATAAAAGAACGAGTAAAAATATATAGCTAATCTTCTTTCTTGTAATTCCTTTTTCACAATTTTGAATACAACTCATATATTAACTATACAGTATTTGTACAGAATGAAATCAATTTTTTCAAAAGGTTCATAAAAATGAATTTGTCATTATGCATTGCAAAATACTCTAGGTAATATACTCACATAGCTAAAAATTGAAAGGTTCAAAATGAATGGCAAAGTTCCTCTTTCACCTCTTCCACTATCCCTTAGACATCTAGTTTACCACCATAGTTTTATTAGTTTATAAAATATATGCCCAAACATAGTCTATGCATACACAGCAAATATAAAGCATTACTTTTTTCCTTTTACATAAAGAAAAAAAGTTCTGTATCTTGATGTTGTTTTATATATACATATATAATACATATGTGTGTGTGTGTGTGTGTGTGTGTGTGTGTGTGTATTTTTTTTTGTATGTGCCGCTAGTGGGAACCAAACCTGGGGCTCTCTGGTCCGCAGGCCAACGCTCCAACCACTGACCCAAACCGGCCAGGGCAACTTTAATATATTTTAAACATTGTTCCACCAGTACTTAATCAGTTTCTTTTATTTCAGAGCTACAAACAATCCAATGACTCTAAGGATGTTCTATAATTTAGTCTTTTGCTCTGGTCGGTTTGCTCAGTGGTTAGAGCAACGACCCACAGACCAGAGAGAGAGTCCTGGGTTCAGTTCCCTCTAAGGGCATGTACTTCAGTTGCAGTTTGTCCCAGGCCCCAATTGGGGTCGTGTGGGTGGCAACCACTCAATGTCTCTCTCACATAGATGTTTGTTTCTCTCTCTCCCTCCCTCCCTCCCGCTCTATCTGAAGATAAATGCAAAAAATGTCCTCGGGTGAGGATTAAAAAAAAAGCCCTGGCCGGTTTGGCTAAGCAGTTAGAGCGTCGGCCTGCGGTCCAGACAGACCCGGGTTCAGTTCGGGCTAAGGGCGCGTACCTCGGTTGTGGTTTGTCCCTGGCCCTGGTTGGTTGTGCAGGTGGCAGCCACTCGATGTGTCCCTTTCACGTCAATGTTTCTCTCTCTCTCTCTCTCTCTCTTCCTCTCTTTCCCTCCCACTTTATCTGAACAAAAAATGGAAAAATGTCTTCAGGTGAGAATAAAAAAACATTAAATAAATAAAAAAAGTTTTTAGTCTCTTACTGATGCATGTTTTTAGTCTTTGTTATATATAACAATGCGATCTGAACAGTCTTATCTGTGCTTCACTCTAAATATGTGAGCATATCTGTGTTTTGTTTTGTTTTTTTATGTTTTTACTGATTTTTTTGAGGGAGAGAGGGAGAGATAGAAACATCAATGGGAGAGAGAGAGAGATCAATCTGCTGCCTCCTGCATGCCCCCTACTGAGGATGGAGCCAGCAACCTGACAAGGAATTTAACTGGAACCTCTCAGTCCATGGGAGGACACGCAATCAATTCAGCCACACTGGCTGGGCTGTAAGATAGTCTTAAAACTGAATTTTATCAAAGGATATGTGTGATTTTTTTTTTTTATCCTCACCCAAAGACAGTTTTCCATTTTTTGTTCAGATAGAATGGGAGGGAGAGGAAAAGAGAGAGAGAGAGAGAGAGAGAGGGAAAGAGAGAAACATCGACGTGAAAGGGACACATCGAGTGGCTGCCGCCCGCACGACCAACCAGGGCCGGGGACAAACTGCAACCGAGGTACATGCCCTTAGCGGGAACCGAACCCGGGTCTCTCCGGACCGCAGGCGGACGCTCTAACTGCTGACCCAAACTGGCCATGGCCGGATATGTGTGATTTTGATAAATATTAGTAGACTATGCCCTGGCCAGTTTGGCTCAGCGGTTAGAGCGTCCGCCTGCGGTCCGGAGAGACCCGGGTTCGGTTCCCGCTAAGGGCATGTACCTCGGTTGCAGTTTGTCCCCGGCCCTGGTTGGTCGTGCGGGCGGCAGCCACTCGATGTGTCCCTTTCACATCGATGTTTCCCTCTCTCTCTTCCTCTCTCTCCATCCCACTCTGTCTGTACAAAAAATGGAAAAATGTCCTCGGGTGAGGATGAAAAAAAAAATATATGTATATTAGTAGACTATTCCCTGGTTGGCTGTGCCAATTAACATGACCATCCATAAAGTATTAATGCATATACTTTTTTACCCTGTCCAGTGAACAGTTTTCAAACTTTCTGGTCTCCATCTTAGATCATTGATCCTCAACATGGGGTGATCTGGCTCTCCTAGGAGACATCTGGCAATGCCTGGGGCCATTTGGATTGTCACAACTCGGTAGTGGGGAACACTAATGGAATCTAGTGGGCAGAGGCAGGGATGCTGTTAAACATGCACAGGACAACCCCTCACAACAATGAATTATTCAGTCCAAAATATCAATATTGCTGAAGTTGAGAACCCATCTTAGATGGAAAATAAGTGTCTCAGCTTAGTTGTGATTTGCAAGCACCAATTTCTTTACAAAAATAAATAAAATCACCCATACTACCAAATAAAGTCAAAACTGAGCCCTGATTGGTTTGGCTCAGCGGTTAGAGTGTCGGCCTGCAGTCCAGAGAGACCCGGGTTTGGTTCCCACTAAGGGCATGTACCTTGGTTGCAGTTTGTCCCCGGCCCTGGTTGGTCGTGCAACACTCAATGTGTCCCTTTCAAGTCGATGTTTCTCTCTTTTCCTCTCTCTTCCTCTCTCTCCCTTCCTTTCTTTCTGAACAAAAAATGGAAAAAAATGTCCTCGGGCGAGGATAAAAAAATAAAAAGATTTTAAGAAACCCTAAATTTTCATATAAGTAATGCCAATTATTCACTTACAAGCAATTCAGAATATTTTCTCAATCCACTGAAACACACAGGCCAGGACAATTTAAAAAAAATTTTTTTTTAATGAGAAAGTATATCAGGCAAAGGAGGAATCTCCAGGTCAGAGGGAGCAGCTACTCAGCTCCAACCCACTGCTTAAGTACGGGTATATTTTTGCCCAGTTTCCACTGTGTCAATTTTTCAAAAAAAAAAAGCTCAAAGCCTTGGCTGGCTAGCTCAGTATTAGAGTGTCTAGCTCAATTGGTTAGAGTGTCGTCCTGATGCACCTAGGTTGCAGGTTTAATCCCAGGTCAAGGAACATACAAGAATCAACCAGTGAATGCATAAATAAATGGAACAACAAATTGATATTTCTCTCTCTCTCTCTCAAATCAGTAAAAAAATTTTTAAAATAAAAAGCTCAAAATCCAAATTTTTTCATGAACTTTCCCAATCTTTGTAACAAAATTTTTAAGTTACAGGCAATTAATTCAAACTTTATCAAAACACCATTCAGGCCACCAATTTTTGAACTTCAAGACAGCCACATTTTTCTTCAATTTGAATAGTAGACTGCTTTCTTTGCTTGCATTTAAAAAGCAAGTTGAAAAACGAAAACAAAAAGCAAGTGGAATGAAAATTATGTTTACCCCAGAATCCCATTCAGCAAGGCATGTACTCATAGTTTCACAGGCATATGCAGGAATTTAGGCCTATCCAGGCCGCAGCACTCACATCTCCCAATACTCAGAAGCAGAACCTCAACATGAAATGGCAGGCCCCATTTAAATTCTTTCCTGTTTTTGCCTAGCACACATGCTGGTTTGCCCAATATTTTTCCAGTTTTAGTACTCAAAGTCCAACATCCGAGGAGCCCTCTCATTCCTAGGCAAACCACAATGATTGGCAAACCCTATCAGCCATCTAACTGAATTCCACATAAATAACATTATTCCTATCATGATACATCATCATAAAAAGACAAAAACAAAACTTGTTCAACAAAAGTACTGAACGAGAGTTAATACAAAATCAGAGAGGAATTTCTCCCAGAAACACCTATAAATGCCATTGTGAATATAGTCAGCAGCCTCTAGTAGATACAGCAGTGAGTTTCAAAACAGTGTTTTTCAGTATCACCCTTCAATTTGGAAGGCAAAATATAAAGTGCAACCCAGCAAAAAAAATTCTGGGGAAAGGGAAAAAACACACTGATCTGGCATAATTCTTAAACAGCTCTTAAATAATCAGTCCAGTAGAATAGCCAGCAGAATTGTCTAGCCAATAATGCTTTTTAAAGTATTTGAATTTGTATACTTATCACAGGAAGAACAAGCATGCTCAGACCTACAAGCCCCACCCACCACTCCCTATTCTTACACCTGACTACTTTGCACATCAATGTTATCTGCCGAGTGAAAATATCCAGAGCTGCAGTTGTTTTATTGACACATTTAACAAAACATTGGCTGGCAACTGTGGTGATGTCTTAACAGTGGGTGGGGACGAGGCAGTGAATGAGGTGATTCCCCTCCCTCCCAAGGCTTCTTCCTTTACCTCCATTACTAACCTACAGATAAACTGCCCAAACTCCAAGGTTATCCTCCCAAGATAATGTCTCTCAAAGGGGTTTTTGTAATACATTTGGGTGGCAGTTTTGGGTTTTTTTTCTTTATTGATTTTAGAGAAAGAGGAAGGGAGAGGGAGAGATAGAAATATCATGAGAGAGAACATTGATTGGGGTGGCAGTGCATTTTAAATCATACTTACCTCGGAGTACCTGAAGTGCAGCTATTTCCTGGTGAACAGCTAGCTAAGATCATATACTTTAAGTCAAAATAGCTGGGAAATAGGACTGACCTCCTGATGTGATATAAGAGG